ACGAGCGGTGTGAGAGGGGGAAAAGCCTGTCCGGCTGCCCCAGCACTTCCGGGTTCCTGATGCATTGGATGCCGGACTAATGGAGTTTTACTGTAGTATAAAATAAGCAAAAGTAAAAAATATGCACTCTTTACAAACTCTGCTAAGTACATTGTAAACATTAAGGGCACGTCTACACTACATGGAAGATCGACATTGCTGAGGTCAATCTTCCGGTGTTTGATTTAGTGGATATAATATAGGCACTTCCGGGTTCCTGATGCATTGGATGCCGGACTAATGGAGTTTTACTGTAGTATAAAATAAGCAAAAGTAAAAAATATGCACTCTTTACAAACTCTGCTAAGTACATTGTAAACATTAAGGGCACGTCTACACTACATGGAAGATCGACATTGCTGAGGTCAATCTTCCGGTGTTTGATTTAGTGGATATAATATAGACCCGCTAGATTGAACTCAAAGGGCACCCCCATCAAAGCTGGTATTCCTGCTCCTCACGAGGAGTAAGGGAAGCCAACGGGAGCATTGGCTCCTGTTTGCCTCCCTGTATGTGGGTGGTGCGGAAACACAATGTAAGATAAGTTGACTCTAGCTACATAATTTACATAGCTGGATTTGTGTATCTTACTTGGACCTTCCCATGTAGTGTAGTCCAAGCCTAAGGGATCAACTTTTGCCTTTTGATTAGTACACACAACTCTACTGGTTCCCAAACCAACTCCCATTGGAATCAATAAAAGGATGTGCATTAATTAAAATTGGAGTTGAATCAGGTTCTTCATACTAACAGTAACAATGGTCATGAATAAGTGAAAAAAGAGTCCTTTAAGTAATCACATAGACGCATCATATTCACCAATGCTAAAAACAAAAAAATACATTTGTGTGGAAAAAAAATAATAATTAAACATAGTATGAAATTCAACAAACCCTACAATATACCTCAATTAATTTCCCTTTCCTCGGGACTCTCTTATCTCTCTTTTGAAACTTAATACTATATAACAGATCTAAAGTAAACGCCAGCTGTCTGATTCAGTATTTTAATTCAGGAATTGGTAGCTTAGTTCAATGTAGTTTTGCAGTTTCTGTTCTGGAAACCCATGGAATTAAAGCTGCATATGGAAACACAGTGCCTTCAGCTAAAAAACTTCATGAACTTGTGCAAATTAGGGTAAAATTTGCACCGTGGACTCTGCAAAGCAAATAGGAGAATGATGATGACATACCATGGCAAACGTGAAATATCCTGCCCCCAAATCCCACAACATCCATCTGTGGAGGGAAAAGAAGGTTCCTAAATTTTTTAGCTGAGCACACTGTAAATGGTATTGTTAATGACTATAGACTAATGGAATGTTAACACAGTTTAATGCTACACTTAAGAGTAGTAATGTATGGTATGGAAGCTGTAAAATTAAAATGTTTTGTGTCACAGATAACTAAAAGTCCAATTAATGATTTGATTACATCAGATGACAAACCAGGACATCACCATTCTTATGACTCCCAATAATATAAAAAATAGATTTGCACCTTCTTACATCAATAGCAAATTTGACTCAAAGATAATTATAAATTATCATAGCTAATTACTACAAATATGTACATAGAAAAACTTGAAAAGTTCTTGTTTAGATGAAACATGATACTTTCTGTGCTTCAGTAATCGAATAAAAAGTTCTGATATATTTTGAATCATTACTAATATGGCTAACGGTATGGGCATGGGTCACAGATCTAAAGGGCAAACTCTTACCTGTATCATTGCCTGTAATGGCAAAGACAAATAATCTAATGTCAGGTTTCTTTTCCATGTCTGTTTCGAGATCTGAAATAGAGGGAGACACTTCCTGAGGTTCCAAAGCCTCTGTAGTTTCTTCAACTTTGGGTGGTCTGGTAGGTCGTGCAACTGCAGTGGCACTTGATGATGTAAAATATTCTTTGTCAATTTCTGGTTCCACTGTTTTGCCTGTCAGATCATCATCAGTAGTGGCTTTACTGGGAGAAATAGATTCATCAATTATTACTACACCTATGCTTGTTTCCTCCTCATCTTCCCTGTCAATTATACGTGGTGGCTTTTTAGTAACAAAGGATTTGGTAGTTGAAGTTGGTTGGATTTTGTCTACTGCACTTAGAGCGGTTGTTTTATCTGTTGCAAAAGCTGAAAATAAAATTGGTTTTGTTCCTTCAGGTTCCTCCAATATTCCTGAACCTTCCAGACTATGGGTTGTCAAATTTTCCACCTTTTCCTCAGAAGTAGATTTCTCAATCTGATGAGTAATACCTTCCAGTGCAGTAGGACCTGTAGGCATTATATGTGAAGGCAACTCAGTTTCCCAACTCACCACACTGCTTTCTTTGGTTTCATTTTCTTGCTTGACGTGTGGTACTCCACTTTCATCTTCATCAGTTTCAGTGCTTGGTGATCCTGGCATAACTTCAGTGGTCTTTACTTTGTGTTCAGTAACAGCATCAACTTTTGGAGACAGAACAAGCTGCATGGTCCTAGTTGTTGTTTCACCAGATGCTAGAATTTTTTCATAATCCATTATCTTTACATCAGGCACAAAAACTTCTGTAGTTTTATGTTTTTCATTATACGCTGATCCTTCAGTAACTATGCCCATATCATGCCTTTCAGTAATAGCTGTGTGAGTTAGTTCAGGTCCAGTAGTTGTCTTCTGTTCATATATTTGAACAAATGTCACAGGCACCTTAGAAGTAGTTGCAGTAGAATCAGTGTCAGTAACCAATTGCTCTCTAGTAATTCCGTATGGTTTTTCTTCCACTGTTCCTTCAGTAATTTGGACCACATCTTTACTTTCAGAAAGAGTTGTCAGAGCAGATTCAGATTTGGATACTACCTCCTGATCATCTGTTTCCACATGTACTTGAGTAGATATCACATCCATTTTAGAAATGGATCCTGTGGACTCCGTGGCAGTAACTATTTGTACCATAGTTTCATCTTTGGTAGAGTGTTCCTTTTGAAATATGATTCCTTTTATATCTTGAGTTTCCACATGTGGATGAATAGTAGTGATCATTCCGGTGATTCCTACATCTTGGGTCTGCTCAATAGCACTTCCTTCCTCAAGGCAATCAACTTGTTGCCCTCCTGTTCCTGCACTAGGTGCAACCTTTTCTTCCTGGGTTTTGATGGTAGTGGATGTCATTGTAGATGATTCTTCTTTAACGATTGTTCCTGTACTTATATGGTCACCCTCTGTGACTGCATATTTTGAAACCTCTTTATCTGTAAATGTAACATCTTCAGTAAATGGTGCTCTTAGTTTCTCAGTGGCCTCTGCTGGTTTCACATCTGGGGCAGGAGCAAATGTTCTCATAGTTTCATGATACCTTGAAACAAAATCTTCATCTTCTGTAAATCCTATTGTTGGTTGTACTTTGTCACTCACTTCCGTGAATGGAGGCCTGGCTGTTGGTAATTTTGTAGCTTTTGATGCTGGCACTGCTGGCATAAAGGGCTTTATTGTTGCATCACTTTCCTCCAGCGATATTTTTGATACTGTGATTACTTCCAGTTCTATAGCTCTGCCAGTGGGGTAGATACTTGTGATATCTTTACTCTGATCTAAATCAGCTGATACAGCTGTAAGTTCTTCATCAATTTTTGTTTCTGTTGGCTCCAGACTTATCTTAGTTTTATCTTTTGCTGTTGAAACTACTGCTTCGGGGTGCTTTGTATGTTCTACGATATAAATTTGAGCTGGAGAAGCTGTAGAAAACTCCATTCCAGAGATACCATCTCCTCTTCGTAAAGTTCCATATGTTTTTATATAATGAACCAAATCTTCTGTCACATTTTCCTGATCTTTATCAGTAGTTAGTGGAGTGCTTGAAACTTGGGAGGGAAGTGTGAATTTTTCACTTGCAACATATCCCTTGGGATCTGTTTTAGCCTTATCAGAGTCTGGTTTTAGAAATGAGAGCTTATCAGTCTGTGTTCTCTTTACTACTCCTTGTGGTGAGGTGGCAACTTGTGAGACAGTGATGGCATCAGCTTCTGTCTGATTAACTTCTGATACAGATGCAGACATAGGTACCGAAAAGGAAACTTCAAGTGCATTGGTAGTCTGCACAACGGTCAAATCCTCTATGCTTCTTTCAGCTGATGCCTCATTATTATCAAATAAAATAGGTTCTTCTATAACTCTAATTGCTGGAGGGGACTCACTTGCTAGAGAAGATGCCCTAGTAGTTACAGCATGCTCTTCTAAGAATGTCTGTGATACAGTAATTACTTCTAATTCTGGGATTCTGCTAGAAGTCAAAGTTCTGTGGTCAGGCATAACAGTGTATGCACTTGCTTTGCCATCCTCCCCCTCCTCATCCTGTGCGGTAGGTTCATGATGATCTATATGCAGATCTTTGGGAATTACAACAGTGGTAAGTTTCTTATCAGTTTTTGCTTCCATTGATTCTCTTGTGGGGTGAGCACTAAGATACATTTCCTCTTTTGTTAGTGTAACTGAAGTATCTGTTTCAGGAAGCTCTCTCACAGGGGTTTGCACTGAGGTATTTCCATATGTTCTTATTGGGCCCACCTCTATTTGTTCGGTCTGACTTTCAACTGTGTGCATAGCTTCAATTTCAGCATCTTCCCATGAAACTGTGATTGGAAGCAATGTGGGGGCCACATCTGTAGCTGCTCTATGCTCTGAAATTATTGAGGACAAATAAACGTCCTCTCTAATTTTAGACATATCTTCAGATAATTCTGCTGCAGAATAAGTGTGCTCCATCTCTTCTTGTATAGGTGTGCTCACTGCTCGTCTAGGTGCAGCATCAGGTGTAGCCATTTCCAATGACACAGAAGGATCCACTTTGCCATCTGTGACTGTCTGAGGTAGACTATCGATTAACTTAATGTACTCCTTAGGCATCGTCTCTTCTCTTTTCTTCTCGCCCACTCTGCTAGTTAGTATTGCGTCTTCCTTTTTGCTTCCCAGGATTACTTTTGCTGAAACTGGGGTCTTTGTTTTTGTGACAACTGATTCGGTGACTGAACTATCAGCAATATCAGTTTTAAAAGTAGCTTTGCCAGGGGTTACTTTTAGTTCTTTTAAGAGACTGGCTGGACCACTTTCCATAGGAATGTCCAGCTCAACAGATGCAGACTCTGATACATTTTGTTTACCTAAAAAAAGATATTAAAGAATCAGTTAGACATGGTATAAACAAATCTATTTTTATACTTCTCTGATGCAAATTAAACCCCAAAGAACAAAAGTGATAAAATGTTTTAGATAAAGATTTTCAATTCAGTACAGCTTTAATGCCAGCATAAAAACACTGTATTACAATGCCGCAAACTTTGCTGCATTTATACACAATACTGAGAGAAAGTTAGATTAGGGCTGATGGTGAGAACCGTATATTTTCACTGATTGGCTTTAATTAATTTGCCTTTAGCCAAAGTATTTGCCTGCCAGGTTTTATTTTGTTCTCAATTTGGAGGTGCTATTGAGTGTTTCTAAGTAACAAAAGTAAATTAAATGTTCTTACTTTTAGTTTAGGATACAATATTATTCATAAAAGTCCTGTCTTTGACACCCTGAGCAAGAAGTGCTGTGAGGGCATCAGCATCAGATGTAGGGAAGGAAATCTCTTGCATTGTTGAACAACAACAAAAGCAGCAGCAACAGAGCAATGTCAGTAATATTAATTTCATGGTGCTATATTAACACTATCAGAGATCTCTATACAACATAATATTAACAAAATACAAACATATTGTTCTGTATTGTACTGAATGAAATGTTGAAGTGGACTCTTTCATTTCATACTCTTGCCAACTGACTCCCAGTCTATCAGGGTATATCTACACAACAGGGCTAAAGTCAAATTAAGCTACGCAATTTCAGCTATGTAAGTTGTGTAGCTGAAGTCGAAATAGCTTAATTCAGTTTTTGGCATTGTCTACACAGCAGGAAGTCAAAGGAAGAACACTCTTCCTTCGACTTCCCTTACTCCTCATTAATAGGGTTGCCAGATGGTTTCAACAAAAATACCAGACACACTTGACATTATATGACAATTTACATTACATCTTATTTAGAAAATACTGGACATTTATATTTTCTCAATTTGTTTCCTGAACAGAAAGCTCAAATACTAGACTGTCCGGTTCAAAACCGGACACCTGGCAACCCTACTCATGAAATGAGGATGACCATGAGTCAGAGTAAGAAGTCCTCCAGCTTGACGTTATTTCAAAATAAAGGCTTGCAGTATAGACATGCACTATGTAATAACATTGCTGTGTAGACGTATCCTCAGAAAATTCTTGCAGTTTAAGGCAGAAACATTTCTGATTTCTCTTGTGCATTCATGCTCCGCTATGTTAGGGTGCCTCTACACAGCACCCTAAACTCAAAATAAGATACACAATTTGCACTACCAAAATTGCATATCTTATTTCAAATCTATTTTGAAACAGCTTATTTTGAAATTTGGCACGTCTACACAGTGCAAAATTTTGAAATAACATGCTATTTCGAGACATCCCTTAACCCTTGTGGAATGGGGGTTACCGGCTTGCCAAAATAGAGCGCCTGTTATTTCAAAATATTTTTTGAAATACTGGGTGGCTTATGTAGATGCAGGGTAGCTATTTTGGGACACCTCTGGTATCCCAAAATATCTATGCAGTGTAGATGCACCCTTATGTATTAGCTGTATTGCAAATGCCATGGATTTTTTTTTTTTCCAAGGCTCACTTTAGCATACAATTCACATGTATAACAGGAAGCAAAATACCAGCTTAGTATATTTTCAGCATATAATTACAAATGACAAAAAAGGAATCCTGACAACAACAGGAGTTTGTTTAGGTAACAGAAACTAACATGCCATCCTAAAACACTGTATTGCAATGTCACAACATTTGCTGTCATCCATCTAAACTATACTCTGAGACATTTAGATTAGTTTTGAAAATGAGAACACTAACCGACAGAGAGGTCTGATAGTACCTACATGTGGGATCAGAAACACAGTATTGAAATGAAGTTTACTTTTGGAAAAAAAATGAAAAGGGCATAATCCTGCTGTCTCTTCATGCATAAAATTGGGTGCATTGTATATAAAAGGACAGCAGGATCAGGCTTTTTAAAATATCAAAAAAATAAAGGACAGAGTATGGTCCTTGGAATCACCATTAGGTCACAGACAATGATTTTCAGATTTTTAAAACACAAATGTAAGGACTAATTATCTCAGCATAACTCAATAAAACCTACAGCATCTTTCATGTTAATGCATTGAAAAGTATCTAATCATGTAAATTAAAATCCTTAGACAAACATGCAAGAAATGTATGTAATTACCATGTTTTAGGTGGATAGGCCCAAAGGTCAAAAGCTGTATATTACATCTGAGAGTTTCAGAATTAATGAATGAGCTCAGAGAAACTCAAAGGCTCAGTGTACAATATGAAAGTTTTATCAAACTTCTTTGAAGGCTAGGGGCCATGGAGAAAGATGAGGGTTTGACAAAGGTCACATTTGCAGAAAGGAGCTATTCCAGAGGATGGACCAAAGAAGAGTCTACACTCCACTGAGACCTCCAGAATTTAAGAACACAAGGAAAAATTATTCGAACAAGTATTGGCACAGGCAGAGAATGGGAAGAAGCAAAGGGGAAACATAGAAATATGCAATTGAACACATGCACATGCCATACGGCCTTATAGAGCTTGTCTACACTTACAGCACTGCAGCGTGCAGCCTCACTTGTACAGGTGCATCTCTGTAGCACTTAGTGAAGATAACTACCTAAGCACGAGAGAGCTTCTCCCATTGACATAGATTTTCTGTCTCCCTAAGAAACAATAACTATGTTGACGGGAAAAACCTCCCATTGACACTTCTTCCATCAACACAGCACAATCTACACTGGGAGTCTGGTTGGTATAAATGCCTCATTCAGGTATAAAAATCTATAACCTCTGAGTGCCCATATAGTTATACAGACACCAGATCATAGTATAGAACAGGGCTCAGGCACATAAGGCATTTGTGTGCATACATTAGGCCTACACAAATGTGCATTTCAAATTTCACTGACCTAATTCTGATAATGTTGCCCTTACAGACAAATTATTAGATTATACACTGAAGTGGACAAAGAGGTGATAGGCCAGGTGTGTCCAAATCCATAGCCAAATTTCACCAAAGTTCAAAGCATTAGTATCCAAAGGCTTGGTCCATAGCCAGTACACAGTTGTATCCATGACTCATTAAGTTTGGATCCAGAAGTTTGGGGGTAGATGATCTGGTGTGAGCCACTCTCTAGTTAACATCTGTTCAAGTGGGCACAAAGATTATTGTTTGTTTTAAAGAATATTAACATTAATAGAGGTGGTGAAGATAGAAAATAAAGCCAGTATCAAAATATAATGATGAATAAATAGATAAAATGTGATTCATCACTATTTGAGGGTTTGTAATACTAGTTATTTGTGACTTTTTAGGAGACTGCCAGGTTTTCATTAAAATGTTAACAAATTTACACAAATTCATGCCTGATATGCAGGTACTTACTATTCACCACTTATTAACTGCTAATCTCTTGATAAAATGTTTCAGACGTTCAGTGAAGGAGCTCAAATAAACAAATAAAAAAATAAGGCCAAATGCATCAGATATTTGGTTCAGCAATTACTAATTGACCAATACAAACAAACAAATTGTGTTTCCTAAAGAAGAACACAATACAAAATCTATTCTGTTTATAGATAAATGGTCAATATTTCTGCAAACTGGAATCCGAGGAGCAGTGCTGATTTACACCATCTCTAAGATTCTTTCAGCTATGCTAGGTAAATGCCTTATCACTTATATGATGTATAAAATGTTTCATAGACACGATACAGATTTGTAAACTTAACTGAGAAGAATTAGCTGACAACAGATGCTTCTTTTTAGTGAAGACATCTGCCAGCATTACTTTCTGCCTTGTAAAAAAAAAAGCTGCTTTTTAATAGGTTCCAACTCCAGTTTTAACTGCTTGCTTTTCTATCCAGATGTTTTGTATTACTGTATTCCTTGCACCATGTGTTCAATGGGCTGTCTTCTTTGTGCTTCTTCTGATGTAAGGCATGAGGCAGATTTTCCTAATAAAATGCTTGAATCTTTTAGCAGCAAGAAAGCAAATTATCTCAAAGACTGCTGCTTACATCAAAGACTATCTTATGTTGCTTTCAATTGATTCCTTTTATATTAAGAACAACCTGAATGAAGTTGATTTTGGATGGATCCTATGTGAATTGACAGTGATACTGTACTTTTTTATTTTCCAACTGTTTACTTAATGCTTTCATTCTGAAATAGCTTTCTTTCTTTCTTCACTGGTGTTTAAATAAGGTCATTAAAATGGTGGAGTTATATTAAGACTAATAATTTTATCTAGGAAAACACACAAAAGACTTGAGAACCAAATGCTTTACCTTTGAGGCCACAAACTGAGAAGCTTAATAAGAAGGCAGACAATACTAATTTTGCTTACATTTTACAAATAAAATGTGTCGGTGTTTTCAGGATACAAAGGCCCCAGTTCAACAAGATACTTAAGCATGTATCTATCTTTAAGCAATTGCATAGGCCCTTTAAATCAATAAAACTACTCACGTGATTAATTTGAGGCCTATCTTACAGAAGTATCTATATGAATTAGGGCCTTATACTATTTCAGTGCCTTATGAAACATGCCCAGCAAACATGTCCATGCATAAGCCCATCCAGTCCATATGTTTAGCAAGTTAGAAAGATAACCCTTCCTACTCCAATCAGTGGTTGACAAAAAAGTAGTCTAGTAATTACTCTCTCTCTGCTGCAGTAGTAAGGACCTGATCCAAAGCCTAATGAAGGTCAATAGACAGACCACCACAGACTTCTGTAGGCTTTTGATCAACCCCTAACAGAAGAAAAAAATCTTTTCCTCTCTGTAATGTGTAGCTATAACACCTGTATCCATTAGAAATTAAGTCACTTCTCGCTAAAATAATACTTTGTTGTGCTTCAGTGAACATCAGTGTTCCACAAATTCTACTTTGTAAATATTTTTAACATTCCCTCTCCCTCCAAAAGCAATCTTAGCTTTTAACAGATAAAAGACTTTTTCGATGACAGACCTGAT